AACCGAAAAATAAACCCAAAAAAAATTCTTTTGTTTTCCTTGTTTGTGTGTTAGTTTTAATTCATCATTATATTTTATTTTCTTTAGCTTTTCCAGGATAATTGCAGGAGTTCCCCGAGCGGACTAAATTTTGATTTGTGCTTGCTCTTTCAAAGATTTAAATATTTTAAGCTAACCAAGGAGCATTGTATATATCCACGAAAAGAAAATAAGACCGAACAACTATTCAAACCAAGAACCCAAACTTGTGCACACAACTTCAAAGTAGAAATCAAGCTCATCTCCTAATATTTAAAGATTTTTTTTAAAAAGTATGATGCTAATAAAAAGATTAGTTATAACAAAACTTTCAAAAAAAAAATCGTTAAAGTAGATTACTAGTAAACTAAAACTAGTGAACATGCAAAAGCAGAGCCTCATTTTAAATAATGATCAAGGAGCATGTTCGCTAGTTTTAGTTTACTCAATAATGCCATTTAATTACAGGAGTTCCCCGAGCGGACTATATTTTATTTTGCATGTTCACTAGTTTTAGTTTACTCAATAATGCCATTTAATTAAATTCGCAGTTATTACTTTTATTGTTTATTTTTATTTGGTTAATCATTATCACATATAATCGTTTGAGAAAGCTTGCAATGATTCGTACTAACCGGTGACCGATATTGAAACCAACACTTCCCTCCGCCACTCCTCAGAGACACGATACTCGGGGATAAACTTTCCCATCCGGAAAGGTTAAACTCCGTTTTACTACAACGCCGTGAAAGCGGTTATCATCGACCTCAAAGGGGTGGAACACCATAATTTTGGCCATGTCGACTTTCCAAAGTATACATTTGATCTTCACGACGACGACCTTATCTAAATCTCTAAAGGTGACCTACCAACACTGAGACTACATGATGTTTATCAAATGAGGTGATGCTACGGGAAACTCAAGGTCAAAGCAAAGGCACTTAATCTTGGACTAGACACCCTTAAGAGATAGTTACTGAGAGAAGTCAGATTCCATGCTTCCCAGGGCCTTTAGACCGCAATTGAGAATCATCTTCCAAAGGTCAGTCTGAGGCCTCCGCTGAACTATGGTCCCAAGCATCCGCTGAACTATGGTCCCAAGCATGAAAAACTTCTAGTGAATTTCATTTTTTACAATCCAGACTTTGGGGTTGTCTATCTGACTCACAAGAACAGAAAGAGAATCCTTTTGGAAGAAGAAATCCACGAAGTCTGTAATAGGACGCTGAAGATCATTAGAAAGAACCTGCAAGTTCATGAGAAAGGGATTGATTTACTATCCCCAACTATAATATTATCAAAGAGCATTCCAGAATCAGAAAGATGCTCAAGTCTATTGAATAACGACGGAATCTACGAAGAGACATCCAACAATTTGAGCATTCTTTGGGGATCAGAAGGTCTTTCTTTGCATCACAAAGATAATCCAGATCCAGTGTCAATTGATCACAAATGGGGGATTTTTAGTTAATTTTATTGTGATCAAATACATTTTATTTATCTTTGTGTTGTATTTAATAGTCTAGGGCCACTTTAATAACAAATGTAATAAAATAGATTAACTTTAGTAGGTTTGGGCCACATAAATGTTAGGGCCCAACCTAACTTTTCTCTTTCCTTATCTGCACATTACCCTAGGTAATCATATTACATTTTATGGTAAATGTGCGTAGAGCCTTTCATTATTCTTGAGACAGTAGCTGCAGATTAGTGAGAGAAATATTGTAGAGTGTGATTCTTCTCAATCATCTTCTCATCATTATGAAATCCATTTATACCATATTCCCTTTTCTATTTTTGTGAGTTGAATCTATTTGAGATTATTATCTGCATCAATACACTAAAACAAGGGTCCACATGATGATTAGGGTTGTTGGGGAAGGGGTGGAAGGCATAATGCGGTGGATCGCTGGAAAAATAGGTCACTGACGGTGTGCGACAGGTCACTGCCATCGCGGGTCACTAGCAACTGGTCATTGTTGCCAAAAGTCAGTCTACGAAAGTCAGTGTCGCCGGAAGTCACTATGTCACCGAATTAGGGGCATAAATGTCTTGCGAGACACTTCTTTGGAAAACTTTGAATATGGTACGATTTTAATCCTTGAGTTTGGCTTTTAATCTTATTTTAGATAAACTCTTGATATAATTTGAATAATATAAGAATAAGCACGATCAATAAGAAAAAATGAGCAAAAGAGATCGTGCGTCCAAAACCAACAAACTTATCTATTCCGGAACTTTCAATTCCAAAACCAGTCGGACTCTCAAAATAAGGCCTTCATGTTATTTCATTGCACGATGTGGTTTTGTGCGGTCTCCAGTTTGATTTCCAGTCGCACCACTTCATAGCTGTGACGAGGGAAAAGACAGACAATATGTGGTGGTGAGGCCTATTCAGCTATCGAGTCAACTAGTCGGATGCGATAATTGTGTGTTGTTGGCAATGATTGACCAGAGAAGGATGTGGGTGAATGAAATGGTTAGATCTATTTTGTGGGAGGCGAAGGGATCTACAGGACTTTCAGAGACAATGAGGGATATGCGACATCATCCGATTCTGATTCGTACATGGATGGAATTTGCCGAGAGAAAGGGTAGATATGAAACTAGAAGACATAAGGGAGGGGAGGTCGTGTTAGTTGAAGGTTGAGGTTCCGTGTGGGTGAGAATGGAGATAGTGTTGGTCGTGTGGGAGGTTATGCCCCTAGGATGGAGTGGGTAGTAGATTCTAGATAAATGTGGGAGATAAAGTGGGAGTGAGAATGAAGATAAGTGAGCATTCTAGATCACATATCCACACCCCTTATTTTCCAAATTATGTACCACATGCATGTAACTGGTGTCACCTTCCCAATGCAATGTGTTTAGTTAGAACCTTTCATAATAATGAAATTAGTTTAATCGGTTGAATGCATTGAAATTGATGAAAATTAAATTCCGTTGAATTGGTTGAATCAACTAAAATATGAGAAAACTGTATATGGAATGCACGTAGTATTTTATTTATACGTTAAAGAATTTTTTAGCAAATGACAGAAATGTTAGAGTTTTTTCCTAGAATAATGCTAATTAAATAAATAAATCCCAAAATACTGTTGGGTGGCGGTTTTTGTTAACCGCGGTTAACCCCAACAGTATTTTGGGAATTATTTTTAACCCAACAGTAATTTGAGATTTATTTATTTAATTAACATCATTCCGGGGAAAAACTCGAAAGATTATATGGAGTATCTAGACTTTTAGAAGATAAAAATATGACTATACCCATTTTTCTAAAAATGTACTCCAACTATGTACCCACCCCTGCCCTTGCTTCCCCCTACCTCCCCTTATCCCACTACCTTGCCCGGCCAAGGCCAACATCAGAAACCGTCAGCCAGCATCGGAAATCGCTGGTCACTGAAAAAGTCACCGAGAATTCAAAATTAATTCACAAAAATAAGACTTAAATTACAATGAATATAATGTCACTGTCACATGATGTGAAAACTGAACATAAGTTATGTGACTAAAGTAACTACTATAGTAATTACGTTTAAGAGGCCACATTTCCATAAGCAGATCGACTTTCTTTAGTTATAATTATGTAATTATTTAAAAAATGCAAAAACACTTAAATTTATCCTCTACAATAGTATCCCGTATAAAGACCTATAAGAACATTTTCACATAAATTTATATTTAAGTATAGTTTAAGAATGACATAACACACTTTCACATATTTGCACCCCTTGACTTGCCAGTTAACAAAGGCAATTCATCTAAAATGTAAAGTCATCCTATTACTCAATCATTATAAATACTTTGCCTTCAATTAATATATATCAACATTTGAAAATGAAAAAAAAAATGTTTGCCAAACTCATCTGTGCATCGCACGAACGAACGACTAACAAAACATTTTACTAGAAGGAAATATTTCAACAAGAGTTAGTGTGGGGCAAAAGTCGTTCATTCTGTGGCATTCCCGAACACCTTCAGATATTAGCTTGCTATTCAAATTCCGGCTGCGAAAATACCCAAACATGATTCTTAATTTCTTATGTTACGGTTATAAACAAAAGTAAAAAACAGTCGTCATCCTGTGTTGATTTATTGTTGAAAAAATCCATTTTTAGTCATAGTCAACTTTACGTGACCATGTCAAGAGTAATCAATCGCTGAGCGTTAAAAACTACATTGTAAAGGATCATAAAGCAACGAATATTGAACTGAAAGTGTTGTGTATGAAGAAGTGTTTCATAACATTTAACATGAAATGTATTGCATTTTCATATTATATTAATAATGCATGTTACTATTTTGTGGGGTAAATGGTATTGAATATGCTTCATTTTACATCAAACTTTAATTCCGTATGAAGTATAATTCTAAACGATTCAATTAAAATTACAAGTTTGTTTTTTCATTTCCAATTTAATTCCGTGAAATTTATCAACTTGTTTTTCAACTTATTAGACTTATCAATCAACTTTTTAACCAAACACGTAACTTTTGATTTCGCGCGCTGAATTGTGTAATAATAAGAAAAGGTAAGGTTGAAGTTACCTCTCCGGCTGTATTGACTGAAGTTAATGTAGACGACCATTTTAGATATTTTCCATATAATTTTTTCTTTCTTTTATTACTAAAATATATTTTAAAAATAATTTTTTCATTCAGTAGAATCAGTCAATGTAGTCACTTCAGCCAAAACTTCCTAAATATAAGCAGAATCAGTCGATTCAGTCGATTTCGATGTTATCAAACCGGCTCTAAAACGAATAAAAGAGCTCGTGCATGCAACCTCAGAAAACCGTCTGCCAACCAATCGTCGACCTCCTATTTCATACCCAGAAGAAATTAGGAAATCTAAATTCAAGAACGCGATCCACAAAGCTAATTTCGTAACCTGAGAAAACTGTCTGCCAACCGATAGCTTGAACACGCAACTAAAAATCTACAGGAAAACTCAAAAGAACAAAATGAGTCACAATATGTACTGCTTTTCCTTTTCTTTAGCACTTTATTTTTTTACTCATGTACTTTTTTTCCTTTCTCGGATTGCACTTTTAATTTTAGGGAAAAGGTGCAAATAGGCCTATGTACTAACAAAAAAAGGTCAAATAAGCCCTTATTTAGGAGGCTCTGTCCGGACGTCACCATTTGGGGTGGTTCCCGTTTTGGAATTTTTTGATGAATTTTTTTGAGCATCTTATTTAATAAGTCTAGTTTACTCATACCAAATTTCAGCTAAAACTTCAATCGGAAAGACATTCAAATGAATTTTTGAAAATAACTGTGCAGTTAGAAGCGCGGTTATCTTCAAGAATTCATTTGAATGCCTTCCGGATTGAAGTTTTAGCTGAAATTTGGTATAACTAACTAGACTTGATGAATAAGATGCTCAAAAAATTTCATCAAAAAATTTCACCGGGAACCACCCCAAATGATGACGGCCAGACAGAGTCTCCTAAATAAGGGCTTATTTGACCTTTTTTGATTAGTACATGGGTCTATTTGCACCTTTTCCCTTAATTTAATAGGAAAAATTGAAAATAATAATCCCAACTATTGCCGGTCCGCTGAAAATAATCTCAACTATTTATTATTTTTGTATAATCCCAACTATATAGACTATCCGTCAATAATGGTCCATGACCATATATTACCTCTATAAAAAGTGAATTTTAAATAGAAATTAAGCGTAAAAATTAAAAGTTGAGATTATTCATAGGGATTACTTGTTATATCTCATCTCATCCACTTTAGAAACTACAAGAATTTATTCATAGGGACCATTATTGGCGGCAGGTCCCTAAAGTTGGGATTATTCTGTAATAATCAATAGTTGGGATTATTATGAGCGGACTGCCAATAGTTGGGATTATTACTATCAATTTTTCCAATTTTATATCAATAAAATCTCCTTTTGCAAAAAAAAAAAAAAAAAGAGAGAGAGCGAGCTCGTGCATCCAAAGGTTTCAAGTACGAAAGGCCACGCAAGTTGAGGGGTCCCATTATGCAGTAGAGCAGCTATCTCCCTCTAGTCAACGCCTTTTTTGACTCATCATCCTATTAATTCTGCGGCTCGCCCCTCCTCTCTCTCAGCCGCACCTTCGAATTTCATTACGTTTCATTTTCTTTCTCCCAGAAACAGGCAATTAATTGAATAACTAATTGAGCAGCGGTTAATATTACATTGATAAAGATACGTGGGATCGATCCAGTGCAATGGCTCCTAGAGATAAGGAGACTGCGGTGGCGGCGGCGGCGGCGGCGGCAGCATTCCCGGCGGCGGACAAGACCGGCGGCGGAGTGCGCAATGAGCACGTACATTACAGAGGCGTGAGAAAGAGGCCGTGGGGGAGGTACGCGGCGGAGATCAGAGATCCCGGGAAGAAGAGCCGCGTTTGGCTCGGGACCTTTGACACGGCTGAGGAGGCGGCCCGGGCCTATGACAATGCCGCCAGGGAGTTTCGCGGTGCCAAGGCGAAAACGAATTTCCCGATGGCGGGGGAGCGGATTCCTCTCGATTTCTGCGCCCAATTTGGCATCAACAAAACTGATGTGGAAAAGAACGGCGGCGGGAATAGCAACCGCAGTGCCAGTCAGTGCAGCACCGTTGAATCCTCCAGCCGCGATGGCGGGCGTCCCTCTCGGGCCGCGTTGGTCGATTCATCTCTATTGGATCTCAGCGTCGGCGGATCTGTGGGCCGATACGCCGCGGCCGTTCTGCCGTATCAGAACCGGGTCGCCCCGGTCGTCGTAAGCGGGCACCCGACAGCTGCGCCGCCGGCGCATCACATGCTTTGTTTCAACGCGGCCGCGCGCGGCGGGTCCATTAATCCGAATCTTCACAACGGCGCTGCGGCGCAGAGCGAGTCTGACTCTTCCTCGGTGGCCGACGTGAACCGTGATTTGAGACCTAACAAAGCTCCCCTCCTAAACCTCGATCTCAACCTCCCACCGCCGGAGATCATGTGATCTGGTTGGCCGCCGGTTCACCGTTCACGAGTAAACCGCTTCACGATCATCCCGTAATTGTGAATACCAAGAGGCTGATCTCCTCCATTTGATACCACGACTCGAATTTCCATGTAAAGTTTATCCTGCCCCCTTCCTTGAGGCTGACTTTTCTTCTTTTCGTTTCTTTGGGATTCACATAATCACATGTGATATGTGGTCTCTTATTCATATACTACACACATTTTTATATGGAAAAAGTTCTAGATTTTGTATCCATGTCTCTATTTTTTTTTTATTTTTATTTTTGCAAATACTCCGTATTTGTGTTGTTATTCTACTCATTCACAAATAAGATCATGCGACTAATACCCCTGTTTGTTTATATCAAGAACTCTTACATTAAAAGGCACTCTCCGTCCCACTTAATCTTCCCCCACAGTTTACAATTGGTTGATTGATCATAAATTTAAGCGAACCATGTCAAATTATTTTTAGTACATAACATTTACATATTTAAAAATTACATTAAAAGTTACATAAAGTTGCAAACAGAAAAATAAAATTCGATAAAAGTTGGATATATAAAGTAAAATATTAAGAACAATTCACGTTAATCGGAGAATGGTGGATAAGAGCATTTCAATGGGACAGAGGAAAATTATCTCTAAAAATTATACATTCCGATAAAATCTTTAATACTACCTTTTTCTCACTAATATTGGGACATAAGAAAGTGATGCGGTTATTACAAAAAGTAGATTTAAGTGGTTGGTATTAAATTGGTAAACTAAGAATAAAATATGAATGATTCAAAACTACAAAATTTTTACCAAATTTGTTATGAAACAATTTCAGTGTGATGGACTAAAAAAATATGAGAACATCTTAACGAGAGGGAGTATTTTTATAATAAGTTACCACGGTGGCGGAACTAGAAAATGTTTTTAAGCGGGGGCACAATCATATCACATAACGTAAACCATCAAATTAATAATAAATTGTCTTAACAAATCATACCAATAAAACATATTTTTTTTATTAAAAGCACTGATGTAATGGTGCTAAACATTTGAAGAACTAGCACCCCAATTTATCGATGCTTAGTCTATGGAAAAAACCTCAATTAGCATTCCCTAAAAATAATTACCTAAAACAAAAATAATCACTTCAAACTATTATAAATTCATAATATCATACAAACAATATGTAATCATTAGATTCATTACAGTCATCTTAATATAATACAATAACACAAGATAAATCATTAAATAGTTGACACTACATGTATACATATTTTCAACTCATATTCATGAATTGTAAAAATTCAGTAATGAAGTATCAAATATATAATTAAATTAAGAAAGACAAGAATGGAAAAACGGCGGTTGGCGGGACAAGAACGATGGTCAGCAAACTGGTTCCAAGAGGCGGGAGCCTTGGCGGTCCTGTGTGGTCGCGTGGCTCTGAAGCTTGACTGCTTGATTGCCGGTTGTGAGTTGCTGGGAGTTAGGTGATTGCCTCAGATAACACACGAATGACGTGATGGCTGGTGGCCAGATGCTTTGCTTGGTTTGGGGCTTTAAGGATTTGGGTTGTTGCCTGTTGGGCCTTGGTTGTAGGTCCAGACGGCCCTGGATTGTTTTTTTTTTGGTTGGCCATCAAAACGACGTCGCCTCACATAAAAAAGAAAACCACAATCCTTAATCGATCGTCCCTGTTTTCAAGACTTGCCTGCAACCCACGCCCCTCCCTGCTGAAAACTATGGAGTGGCCGGTGACGACACTAAAGCCGTTGTGTGGCTCAAAATAATATTCAATACTTGCATTAATACCATAGTATAACACAGTAAGGATCATATCAACAGGGAAATACATATTTCTCTTTTATAAAATAGTAACAATAGGGGGTTAATATTGTTGTTTGAACTTTAAGAATATTTAAACACTAAGGGCCTGTTTGGTAACGACTGCAACGACTGGATAGGCTAAAAAGACTGAATGTGCTGAAGTGAAAGTTTTTGGTAATATGTTGGCTGAAATGGTTGATTGAGTGTAAAATTACTGTAAATGATATTAGCTTATTTGTGTTAAATATATGAGTGTGAACTTTCTTAGTGGATTAATTCCGCTTGATTAGGTGATTATAAAAATGCTTAATTTATTTATTATATTGAATTTTTTGCACAAAGTTTTTAGAATAAACGATATTATTGTATTTTTTGTAAAAAATATGAGTAAATTAATTTCAAAAATACCTTTTCTATAAAGTTCACGAAGTATAAAAAAACTCACATTCATCTAAGTAGTTTTTAGATGCAAGTGCTTCGTTGCTAATGATAGAGAAGATCTGAGCAAGTTTGATCCGAAAGCATTTGATGGCGTGTTTATCTGCTATTCATCTTCTTCTAAAGCTTACAGAGTTTATATCAGATACATAAGGAAGGTCATTGAAAGTGTCAATGTGACCTTTGACGAAAAGGAAGAATAGGCTTCTGGACATATGAGTTCAGAACCACCCGATATCACTGGTGTTCTAGCACAGCTCCCCACATCATATCACTCACCCGACCCCAATACTGTGGATATTGATCATCTATTTGACCAAATCTATGAGAATCCACATGTCCATGAACTCTGAGGTTGAGCGAAGATGACAGTAGCGCGTCTGTTTCGCATAACTCTCTTTCCTCCCGCCATTGTTGTTGGAATAAAAGCTTGCTGTAAGATCTCGGAAAAGAGGGAGGATCTAGACTTGATTTACCGTTCTTCTCTCAATGAAAACACCAAAATGATGGATTTCCGACCTTGGGGGGTAGCCGGAATCTGGCAAAGTAAGGGAGAAGATTGGAAAAGCTTGAGTAAGATCGAGTAAGGATTTCAGCCGAGTAATAGCAAGATAATTGTATTGCGGATCCCTTTCCACATGTTGGAAGGTGATATTTATACTAAAAAGGTAATACTTGATGCCCAAGTAAAAATATGCTATTCTAATGAGGAGCGGGAACGTGTCCTACATGCCTAACAGAATAATCAGACTGATCTAATGGAGTGTTAACACATGAAAAGGTCATTGGAGAGATAAGTGGGACAACTGGCTGATTGGAACTACATGTAACAAACTGATACCAGAATTCACGTGCGGGTTACACATGTATCATCCGGAATATCCTTCACCTTATCCGCTGGGGGTGACGTGGCACTTCTTGGAGTGTTGGTGACGCGGCGGTAGCTTGTGTATTACTTCCATTCGAGAAATGCCTAAGTCCATATATCGTTGGAGAGACCCCGAGCTCCCCCAGAGCTCGGGTATTTGCGCTTGCTACATGAGGATCTATCTCTGATCTTCGGTCTTGTATGTTAGCGTTGACTCATTCGTTGACTTCGCTTGACCTTGATTGACCCCGCGTCAGCCTCAGAGGTCAGATTTGGGCCCGAGCTCGGTGTGCCCGAGGCCGGCCTCATATTTTGCCTTGTCTTGGTGATTCATGAGCTCGATGTTTTGCCGACCTCTGGGGGTCGAGTTCGGCCTCGGCTGAATCTTCTGTCCTTTGTCGATTCGTCGTCTCATGTTTAGCCCCGACCTCGGAGGGTCGAGGTCGGCCTAGGTTGGAACTATGGTGCTTAAATATTTTGTGATGCCTTTTTGACCGGCGATTATGATACCCATGGGGTATATGGGAATATACTCCATGAGCACCTTTAGTTTTTCCAAAAAATCCAAATCTCACACAATTGCATGTTTTTTTTTTTCATTTGTTATTGCTAAATCTATTTAATTCTTAATTCCCCTTTTCTGTCCCTGTGGAGACGATGCTCGTACTAGAACCCTTTACTACTACATATTTTATTAGTGCGAGAAAACAGACATCAATGACTCTTATCCTTAAAAGCCTATTCTATTCATTTGATTTGTATACCATAAAAGGTAAATAAAACAAGACTAAATTAAAACAAATTGATCACAATAAAATAATTTTCGACAGTTGGAAAGATCATGATTTCTAAATCTATTATTCCGACTCAATTGACAATGCATTAAGCGTAAGGTACATATTAACTTAAAATTAACAAACATTTCTGATTTCACTCTAAACACGTGTGGAAGTTGATCTTATCATATCTTGTTGTATGTAGTTTCGTTTAAAACATTTTCTATCTCGTTGGAAAGATCTTATCGATTTCTAAAATTCGTTTTCAGGCATCATTACAAAATCCCACGAAAAACTAACTAATGAACCGAATTTTAAAGCTCAGACTGTATATGTGCTAAAAATACTCCGTACTTTATTTACGTTGAAAACGGTAAATTACAACGATCTCGAGACTAATAAATAATGAGTATATCTTGAGTGCCGCACTTAGGGGTGAGCATAGGACGGCACAGGACGATTATTTCAAAAAACCTGTCCTGTCCCAAAGTACGGTTCTTTTAAAAATCAAGAATCGGTACCGTTCTACATATATATAGAACCTGTCCCGTTCCGTACCAATTTTTAGTACGGTTCGGTACGGTTCTCCGGTGTTATTTGGTTCCTAAATAATTAACCCCCATGAAATATAATTAACCCTATTTACGTAGCATTGTTGATATCATTTAGTATTGTTTTTGTTTTAAAGCTAATTTTTAGTGTTGTCAAGTCTTAATAATTGGATTACGCCCAAAGAATATGCAAGATTGCATATTTGTAATATATGGACATACAGTCACTAACATTTATACTCGGTAATATATTATATATAATATATTATTATATTATAACACTAGTTTTCGGGACATAGGGTCACTAACATTCATACTCGGTAATATATTATATACTACGTATAATATATTACTACCTCCGTTTTTTTTAATCTTCACAGTTTGACTTCACACAAAATAAAGAAAGAAATTTGACTTTACTGTAGAGTACACTGTTGAGGCACTGTTTGACACTGTTTGGCACTGTAGAGACACTGTTTGACACTGTTTTGATGTAGATTTCTTTGCCAAAAAAGGAAATAAGGAAGTGTGAAGTTTATTTTAGACCATCCCAAAAAGGAAAGTGTGAAGTTTATTAAAAACCGGAGGGAGTATAATATTATAACACTAGTTTTCGGAACAATTCGGGACAGTACGAGACGGTTCGATTCAATACGTTTGCGGGACTGTTCTCCCTCAAAGCCGGTAGGTTCTCCCCAACTTTATTACTGCGCCACAGTCAAAGTCAACACCACGCACCCAAGAATCACTTTTGTCTTGCCCAAATAACCCTTGACAAAGAATCTATTTTCGGTCCTCGTCCCTGACTAATAAACAAACGAGATGACCAGATTACCCAGGCCGAGCTCCGACTCCTTCTAAACCGACCAGGGTTTTTCCCGTCTTTCAAACCTTGAAACATGAAAACTTAGACCGAGATTTCATC